GGCCAGCTTCACATGTCCAAATCTCACCTGATAAAAGTCCATTAGGAATGCTGGAAACTACCTGATATATAGACACTCACCCACTAAAGGATTAAATTTTTAAGAATGATCATAAACAAAAGCAACAAAAAGGGAAACCTTACTGAAGGTATTTAGGAGACATTGACAGTTCCATGTTGCTCAGGGGGAAAAAAAGGACAAAAACCTATTTTCACTAGTGTAAAGATTTGTTTCAAGGGCTGAGGTTGTGGCTCAGTGGTAGAGCACTTGCCTAGCATGTGTGAGGCCCTGGGTTCGAGTCTCAGCATCACATATAAATAAATGAATAAAATAAAGGTCCATCAACATCTAAAAAAAATTTTTTTTAAAAGATTTGTTTCAAGAGGTAATAGTTCATTCCTAAATAGGTTTCCCACCTTTCACAGGATTAGCATACGGTCTATTTGCAAAAGAGCAATTTTCCATGTATATGTCATACTGAAGGTATCAAATACAACTCCTTTTTATCTGACATCCAAAGAATCAGAAAGTAACTGAGATTATACATCTACTTTTAGTAGAAAGACAGATGACGTGTATGTAACAATAACTTATTCATAAAGATCAGATTTTGTGGTATGTCACAAACTAATTAAATATAATACAGTCACCATGCCCTCTAAATCTATTACTATGAATGTAATAATTAAATTTCCTCAAGACAGGAATCTTGTCTGTCTTGCCTACAGTATGTCCCCAAGATCTACTACAGTGCTCAGTGAATATTTGTTGAATAAAATAATGTTCTGCAAAACCTAAAATGACTGAATCATCTAAGCAAGATTATACTATAGTCAGTATAGCTTCAGCATTAGATACCAGTTTTCAATTATTAGAAAACTGGTATCTAGGACATAGTATACCCCAATTAACTAGAACTCCTCATTCTGGATACAAGAGAGGTTTACTACAAATCACTTTAAGTAAAGGCTATTATTTATATAAAACATATAAAATCTGTTCTTTCAACAAATATTTATTAACCACCACTAGGCATTAGGCTACTAGGGAGCTAAGAATATACTGTGAACTGACCCTACCCCCAGTTACATTCAGTCTAGGACAGCCTTTCTCAATTGGGGTTCCTCCTCCAGCTGTGTAGGAAAGAAGTGAATTTATTACACATTATGCATGCCCTAGGGCATTAGGGCTTAATTCTCTCCCAGTTGAGAAAGACTGGTCTAAGGGAGCCACATAAGTTAAAGGCAATTATAATGCAATATGATAAAAAGGTTGCTTTTAGGCAGGGTCAAGTTTAACTGTTAGACCTACCTATGTATGAACTAGCTGGTAGAAGCCAAGCTGCACAGACTTTGGTAAGACTCATATAAATAAATGCAAAAATACTGAAACACACATGCAGGTATATTTATAAACATAACAAAATTAAATCAATATATTCCACACTCAGCAACATCAGGCCGAGGTTATTAGGGAAGTGAAATAACAACAACAACAACAACAACAAAAAGGCTTAATTACCCTGATAATTTAACAAGGAAACCAAAAACCTTCTTGCTTCTGGAAAAAGAGAAAAAAGCAATTACCTGAATTATTTTGTTAATTGCCTCCATATATTCTTTCATTAGACTGGTCTTGCCTTGAACTCAAAATAATAAGTAACTACCTACCTATTTCATTAATTCTTATTCTGTACTTTTAGTCTCATTTTGAATTTTCATTCTTCCTTATGCAGTATCTAATATCTTTCTAGTTTCTTCGGTAAGATTTTTTTTATAATGTTATTACTACATGCAACATGCTTTATGGAAACAAAGCAGTTAGAGAGCTTCTAGAATCAGAGATATCAATTTACTCCAGTTTTTCACACTTGCAATAAGTTTTCACTATCAATAATTTAGAAATTCAGATAAGCTAAACTGATAGCATCCACTTGCCAAGTGCCCTAACGTACTTCATTGAGAAATGTCTCATTTGAATCTTTAGTGTGAAATAACTTAATAAGCTAAAAAAGGGAATTCTTATTATTTCAACTGCCAATAACCCTTTAAGTCTATGTGAAAATGTTATTATAATCACTAGGAACTTTACCTGAAGAGTAAAAGAAGACAGGATGACATAAAAGTCCAAGATCCTTAACTCTCATCTAGTCCAGATTTCAATTAAATATGCCTTTGAACAAAATACTGCATAGGCAAAGCTACTATTATTTATTTATTGTTTATCAAAATGTTGACCAAGAACAGGCAGTGCTTTTACTGCATTCTGCAACATCCAACTCTTAAATCTTTCAAGACACTCCCTATATACCTAAATCCTAAAGTGCTGTACACCAAATCCACCAATTTCTTTATACCTCAAAACTGTGAAAGGAAGGACCACAGTTATTAATGGCAAATACGTCAGAGCCATATCTTTAAAAATTACTATTTCTTTTAGCTGAAAATGGAAAACCCAGGAAAACAAATGGCATTTTAAAAACGACTCAGCAAACACAACTGAACTGTAGATGATGAGACTCTTAAGAGATTCTTACTTCCCACATCTGGCTTACAATGTAAAGAAAGCCATCGTCTAATACACAGTTCGCTAGTTTTTAATGATCAAGAACTACAATCAACACTACTGTAATTTATTTAACATTTAAAGCCTGTCAGAAAGTATAGCTCTAGCACAATAGATTCTGAAAGGAATTCACAGCCCTCTTTCTAAAATATTAAAACAATCCAGAGGATGACACAGAATTTAGACTACATCCACCTTATGTTTAAGTCTCAAAGTCCCACCTAATCTTTAATTTTATCCTTCTAGTGATTTAAATGTGAATGGCCCTCAAAGAATCTGAACCTGGGCCAGGCAAAAGACAAGAACAGCATATGGTTTACTGGGATCTAAAATTTGCGCCCACCCTAATTTTTAAAGACTTTTTTTTAACAAAGAGAATGTGATAGGATGTTTTGCATTCAGTTCAACAGCATGTAGTTAATCCCTTGCCCTAGGCCTAGTGCTCAGACAGAACTCCTAAGAGCCTTCCAACATACTATACTGGCACAAATTCCCAGGACTTACCATAGACATGGCTACTCAGGAAAATGTGAGCAATTGCACATGCCAGCTGAAACAACGAGGTTAAAAAAGCTCCTTCTGGTGTGAGCAAAAGTGATTTTCTGCAGAGATCTTGGTTAGGGATGCAAAGTACTAGCCTCAAACCTGCAGGCTGGCACCTCAGCAACTGCTGCAAATTCTACTGCATGCACTGGTTTTGTGGCCAGCACTGCTTAATTACTAGACTGTGATATAATGCAGATCAGTCTTATCATGAGAAGAGGTAAAGGAGGCTTTTAGTCCAATACTTGAGTTGTTCAGTTTCAAATGTTAAAATCTCATTTTAAAAAATGTGATTTTTGACATCTCAAATTTAAGCTAAATGAATTTAATATGATCCAGAGCCCACTGTTACTGTTCTCCAATGTAACAGTGCCATGTGAAAAGCTCATCCTTTTTGCAAATATTACAATTAGCTCTTCCTGTCACCTTTCCTTTTTTATCACTCAAAACAACACCTCATGATCACAAGAAGCTATGTGAAATAGAATATGAAGTACAATGATCTCTTAGAGGCTAAATGTGAGAAATAAATTTTAGATACTTGCTTCAGCCATTTCATACGGATTTCAAGATCCTTGACATGTACCAACCTCTATTGCTCTATGCCACAGGTAATAACCTGCTCCAATTTCCTATTGCATGTCTCAGAGTGAGGTAAACGTTTAGAAAAACATTAACATAGCAAGACTGTGGTGATAATACCCTAAAAAGGAATTGTGTTCAAGTATTACTTTTAACCAGGGTACATTTGTGAAAGTTTCGAATGCAGAAAAAAAATGAGAACAAATTTCATCCACCCTATGAAAAATGTTAGCAATGCTTTCATTAGGAGTAATCGACTAAAAAGTTCTCCAACACATACAGTGAGGGCGATGGGGGAAGCGCTCAGCACTCAATCCTTTTGCTTACGTGCAGAAAAATCAAAATTTGCAGATGAACCCTTTCTTTCACATCGTCGGCAAAAATAAACCCGATTCCCGCCACCTCCTCTGAAAATTAAGGAAGTTGCTACAAATAGCACATAAGTAAATGGCCCCTACTTTGCTCCATTCCTCACGTGCCTTCTAGGAGTAAACAGGTTACTCAAAAGTCCAGAAGCTAGAAACCGCTTTTCGCCCATGCCAAACTCCCACGGAAATACAATTCCCTATTCTGAAGATTTGGACGGGGGAAATGTGGCCGCAGGAGCCGAGCCGCAGTCTGCCCTCTCCCAAAGGTTGGATGTCTGGGGCATTCAGCCCTCCGGGAAGCTTCTTCAGACCCGCGCTCCGCAGCGCCTAGAGCGCGCTGCAGCCTCCCCGTGGCTCCACATCCACCAGCCCACCCTGACCATCGCCCTCGCGTTTACAGTATCCTGAAGGTGAGCTTCGCTGGCGGGGTCTCTAAAGTTTGCCCCGCCTCGGGTCAGCAGCCGCCCGCCCGGGCCGAGCCCCCGGGGAACACTGAGTCCCGCTCCAGCCCTCGGCCCCCAGCTCTTCTTTTGGGCCACAGTGACAGGTCTACATTTACCTCCATGTGCTCGTGGCAGAGGAAACAAAAGAAGGCTTCCTCCCGGATAATAAAACGCCATCTTCGTCTAATTAGCAAACAGAGGGGCCCCCCGGGCTGTTCTTCCACAAGACCCCCACCATCCAGCTCGAGGGCGGCCCCCACTCTGAGACAGAGTTCCTGGCAGCCCCGGAAAGCCCGGGATAAAATGTCCTGGGGGCGGGGGGTGAGCTACCCCGAGAGCCCTACCTGCCTCCCCACCCTAGCCACCAAGGCAAGGCGTTTCAGTTCAAACAAGGGTGGCGTCTCCCAATTACCCCCTCAGAAATTTGTCGTGAGGGACCCGGCGAAGGGGCTGGGAACAAGCCACCCGGTACGCGTGGAGCCGCAGCGAGTGTACTTACAAAACGGTTAAAGCTCTGACGGAACATCGCGTCGAAGGCTGCCGGGCACTCAGCTGGACTCTACAGGGCGGTCCGGGAAGGCGCCGTCCACAAAACACACTGCGGCGTGGGCCGGCGGCGCAAAGCGGACAGCTAGGCGGGCTGCCCTCCTCGCCTCTCGGCGCTCCCCCGCCCCCCCCTCGCGACACCGCCGTTGCCCGCGCCCTCGCGCCCGAGGCCCCGCCGCCGCCGCCCCGCCTCACTCGCCCTCGCCCCCGCCCCCAGCCCCGGCCCGCCCGGCCCGGGGGCGGCGGCCCCGTCGCTCCCCCTTATCTGGCCCCAGCACCGCCAGCCCTCGGCTGCCCGCGGAGAAGCAAACCCGGCGCGCGGGGGAGGGATGGCGGAGGAGCGCTAGGCTCCTCCTGCGGGGAGGGGGGCACCCCAACCTCTTCGCTGGCGCCGGGCTCGGCACCCCGCTGTCCGTACTCTCCCCGGCGCAATGCCCCCACCCGTCTCCCAGCTGGCTTCCGCGGACGCCCCTCTCAGGGCACTGGGGACCCTTTCGAGGTTCCCCGCGCCTCACCTCACCTCACCTCACCTCGCCTCGCCTAGCTTCGCTTCCTCCCGACACTACTCCCCTGTCTCTATCTGGAACCACAGCCTCCCTAACCCCGGCCCTAACTCGTCCACCGCGCGGCTTCACTCACAGCCCCTCCTCGGCCCCGCGCTTTCGTCCCGCACTCGGGTTGGGGAGCCTCGGCGCAGCCCACTGGCCCTCTCTGAGCCCGAGAGACGGCCGGGCTCCCTCTTCCCGGCCGGGAGTAACCGCGCTCTGAGGAAGAGTAGGCACTGGCGGGGCACTGTGGAGACCCTGGCGCGGGAGGGGCGCGGGCAGGGAGATTACTGATGAAAGCTGGCCCCTTCTCATCTACCAACGTGAGGGTCTCCCCGCTCTGCTCCCACCTAGGCGGCTTTCCCTTCGCGTTCTTTCTCTTGTTCAGCTTCCCCACCTAAGCCCTCTTACTTCCACTTTCTCTGTGAGGTTGTAAAGTCAGGCTTTGTGTCGTTGCTGCTGCGCAGCGGGGCGGGATTTCCCTGCCACCCCCCCCCGCTCGCCCCCTCCTTCGCAATGCTCCCGGAGCAGCCTGGGAGTTGTAGTCCAAAGGTCCCCCTATTCCGCCTGCTACTGCGAGCTGGGAGCTCCCCCATACGCCCGTTCGGGGTTTGCCCGGAGGGTTGAAGAAGGAAGCTTCTGAGACAGTTGAACCCAACAGCTTCTCAGCACAGATCCTAAGTGCAGGTCGGGAGCACTCGGTAGATTACTAGCTGTGGGAAATGTGCAAAGGATAAGTTAGGCAAATTCCCGAATGCTGGGAGACTTCCTAGAAGGCGAAATTTGTGCCGGGAAACCCTTTGCACCCTCCGCCCCTAGCTTAGAACTGGAATCTGCCAAAGTTTAAAAACGAAAACTGAAAGCCAAATCTAGAATAGCCTTGAGACTGGACATCCCTCCCCCACTCCCGTCTTGCACCGCCCTCAGGCGGGGCCCGAAGCTGTAGGAGAAGAACTTGCAGATTCTTCTATGAAAGTAAAGAAATTAGTAAAGGTAGTTCAGTAACACTTGCCAGAGGCTTTTGTCGCGCCACTCTCTCCAGCCAGTACAGAGCTGGGGACAGGCCCTGCTAAACCACCGGCCTCCCCTGAGATCGTGAAGGACCTTTAATACTGGGCACTATCACTTCTCCTTTTCCCTTCTGGGGATTCATTTCAACAAATCTTACTCCTTATTTTCTTTGTACCAGGCACCATGCTAGGCGCCAGACACAGTGAATTCTTAAACGACCTCCCAGAGGGTGATTGCAGTCTGAAAAGTGAAAATGACAGGTTAGAATGTAATGGCTGCTAGAATAAAAATGCGAACTGCTGAAAGAAAAGGGAAGTTCATAGTGCCTCTGAAAAGGGGGTCTAGGGCAGCTGCCCTGAAAAATCTGAAGATTTAACTGTGTCATGGATCCTGGGAAGGTGTTGGAGGAACCACTGGGGCAAACTCCTGAGTGAAGAGAGAGGTCCATGAGAAAGTGCAACACAACCTAAAAAAAGCACACCATATTTGCTGATGCCTAAACTGTGTGGGTGGGGGTGGGGTAGAGTCTCTGGTGAAAGCTAAAACCCCAAAAGATCTTCAGAAACACGCTTCAAAGTTTACACTTGATTCTTTGATCAACTAGGAACCCATCCCCAGTAAAATGCAAATGCAAGAGACTTAGGGTTTGTTCCCAAAGTGTTTTAACTGCCCAGAGGTAAAACCAACAGTTTACAATTCTTCCCCAAGATGGTTCCTTTTAGGCAATATCTATTGATTGTTAAGATTTAGGTTAAATCTGTATTAATCAGATATTAGGACACTTGTTGACAAAATAGATCTAAACTTTCACTCTCTACCACTTCAAAGGTATGTTTTCAAACAGTTTATTTTCTGGCTTTTGTTGAACACAACAACTACCTTAATTTCATTTACTAATTATTTGCTGAACAACTACTATGTGGCAGGCACTATTCTAGACACTGGACTTGGGGGATGGAAGAGGTTATTGTCATTCACTCTAGGCATAAATCTAGAATCCTTATCAATAAAATAAATAATAGAAACCCAATTTAGGTATTTGGGGATACAAGTACTTACTAGTAAAGAATATCTTTTCTTATTAGGTTTTGCTAAGCAAATGGGAAAAGTGTATTCTGCTTATGGATTCAAACAGATCAATCTCAAAAAATTAGAGACCCAGAATTTTTCTTCTGCAGTAACCTCTCACACTTGCCCATTGTCAAGTTGCTTCAATGTAAAAGCAGTGATTTAAGCCCCTTCAAAATACAGCAGAATTGTTATTTGAGTTTTCATTTGTTATTCTAATTCCACTCTTTGTCCTCCTAATTTATTTCAGCAGGACACCTATACTCATGGGTCCAGAGTAATTTGCCCAACTATAGAAATGCAATTCCATACAAATCAAAATATGCTCAGCAAAACATGAAATTTATGCAAAGGTGATTTTTTCCATATCCCAAATTCAACCTTAAATTAGAGCCACTCTCACATATATCCTTTAGAGTCACTCCTTTTTTATTTAAAAAAAAAAAAAACTCCTTTGTGAGTTTTTTTTTAAACAAGAAAAATACATTTTTTCTTCCAGTGCCTCTTCACAGTTTCCAAAGAAATCCCAGGTGTTGTAGAAAGCTGTTGTCGATAAATATGAAAAGCAGACCATCAGCCAGAATTTTCATTGGACCAATTCCATAAACAGAGCTGCAAAAACTAACTTCCTCCTGCCTAAACTGTCAAAATATGTGGCACATAATACCAACTCTTCTGGTGTATCAGCTGACTTTACAGACACCCTAGTCTCCAGCAGGTAGTAATTCAGGAAGCTATCTTCTATTGAAAGGGTAAAGTTTCTAAGCTGGAAAGTTTGAATGTAAAAGATTAGGTATTATTAAGTTCCTCTGTTACACCCAGATTCCTGAGATAGTTAAAACAATGCCCTACTGGCCATTTAGCCTAGGGCAGTTCCTCACAGGGCCCGAACCAATCAGTTTGAATGTGTAACCCGCTTACGAATGACCAATCACCGCCGCCCGGCCGGTTCCCGCCAATGAATGTGCCAATCACATCTCAGAGTTGTTGTTCAATTTCCCCGCACCTCATGATTTGTTCTGATGTATGCAAAGCCCACCGCCCTCTCCAAAAAGTGTACTTAAGCTCTGCTTGACCTTTGCTCTGGGCTCTGAGCTGCGCTCCCTTCTTGAGTGGGCACAGAGTCCCAGCGCGCTGGAATGGATCCCCAATAAATCCCCTTTTGCCAATTGCATGGAGTAAGTCTCTTGTGTGTGGTCTCTCCCTCCGACGCTCCGCCGGACCCCCCCTTACACTATCGTTATTTCTAACTTAACTACAGATAATGCCTATTGCCCCTTTTCCGTGTAAGCCACTCAGAAAGTCCTTCTTCTTCACTGTCACTCCCTTCCCACCCCCACCCCTGTACTCTTTCCCACATTTTTCCTAAACCCCTCAAAAATCTCACCATGCCAAATAGACAGACTAATCAGTAGGGCACAGGAGCAACCATGATCCAGCAAGAGAGCAATGATGAAGAAACACAATCACTTCTTCCATCCAATACTAAAAAAAAAAGAAAGAGGGGGTATAAGGTCATTGCTTAGCATCTAGATACCCAACTTAAGTGATAGCCGCCATTTTAAGGAAAAAGTTTCTCTTTCCCACCCTGAGAAAGGCTCACCACTCCCTCATACCAACCCCACCCTTAACCACCAGCATTAGGACCCACCCATCTCCAATCACTGAGCCTGCCCCATAAAAGTGAAAGAACCCAAGTCTGTATTTGCCTCTCTCCATCTATGGAGAGATGGCCTTTATTGTCAGCTCTGACAAACTCTCATGTGTATATCTGCCTGGTCTGTCTTTCATTTCTCGCTCGCACTCATCTCCTGGTTCCTGCTTTCCTTTCAAGGGGGAAAAATTGAAACTGTTAAATCTGCATCTAAATCACACCATGAGGGGCTGGGGTGGTGGCTCAGTGGTAGAGCGCTTTCGTAGCATATGTGAGGCACTGGGTTTGAGTCTCAGCACGGCATATAAATAAATAAAATAAAGGTCCATTGACAACTAAAAACATATTTTTAAAAATCACCCCATGATCAGTAAGTTAAAGAAATTGAACTATACCTGCTGAGCTTTCAAATACACCTCATAAAGCTACCTTTTGTCCATGTGAAATATCTTTCCCCCTTTCAAAGCTTGCCTTGGTGTTGATTTAAGACCAATATTACCTATATCTTCCTAACTATTGGTCCTTTGCAATTCTTTCTCCACACTGCATTCAGAAATCTTCAGAAGACAAAAAGAGATCAAATCACTCCCCTGCTTATGCCTTTAAATTTCTGCCTTAACATCATGTACAAGGTACTGAATTCTCTGACCCCTTTCTTCCTCTCTAGCCTCAAATGGACAACTGTCCCTCTTGCTCACTCCACTGGCCAGCTTTCATTCCTTGAGTTCCCAAAGTGCCTAACAGTTTATGCACAGGCAGCCATCTCTGCTGGAATGCTTCCACTGCATTTGCTA